AAGTCGTTAAACACAGACTACAATTCACAGCCCTTAAGTCAATTCCAGTCACAGTGACCTCTCAAAACTCAAGAAGTGACCCTAGATCCAAAAACAAGACCAATTCACTGCCAAATTCTACTGGTAGCATGGTATATTATCATTGAGCTGCTAACCAGGTCGGTGGTTCAAACCCACTAGCCGCTGCAAGGGAGAAAGATGAGGCTGTCTGCTACTGTAAAGATTCAAAGTCTCAGAAACCCGAAGGGAACAGTCCTACCCAGAGGATCACTGAGTCGGAACTAACTCCATGGCAGTGAGTTTGGGGTTTTTTGTTTGTTTCTTGGGTTGTGGGACAGAGTAGAACTGCCCCCGGTGGGGTTTCTGAGGCTGTAAACCTTTACAGGAGTAGAAAGCTTCATCTTTTTCCTGAGAAGTGGCCAGTAGATTCAAACTGCTGACTTCTCTGTTAGCTGTCCAGCATAGAACCTCCTACACCACCAGGGCTCCTCGTGACCCTACATAGCATTTCATAAATCTTTACAGGGGCAGCGGGCCTCCTCTTTCTCCTTCTGAGTGGCTAGTGGGTTTGAATAGCATACCTTGTAGCTAGCAGTCTAATGCCTAGCGCACAGGACCACCAGAAGAGCGAGACCATCAGCATGAGGCCATATGGTGTTCAAGAGTCAAAGCCACTTACTTAATTTTAGACCTAAGGAAATCATAATAGGAGGCAGATCTACTCAGCACTGTCAAGGCAGAGCTGTAGATGCTGAGGAAGGGGTGGGGTACTGGAGAAACAAGTCATAAGATGGAGAGTAGATGTTTGTTTGACCTCTCCCTCATGGTAGTTGTTCTTTGTCTAGCCAGAGGTCAGATAAAGCCACACTGTTTACTCGGTTGTTTTCTGGGGAAAACATGGAAAGTATGAAAATAGAAATTTTGTAAGGCCACTTGCTTTCAGCCATTAAAATTTGATCTTTAGATGGGTTTAGAACACACCTGCAAAGAAAGCTTTGGAAAGATATACCCCACTCCTGGTACCGTAATGTGCTAGTCTAGGTACTTTGGGGAAACAAATCCACAGAAACTCATGTATAAGAGAGAGTTTTACATAAAGGTTAAGTGCTCATCAAGAAAACATCCCAACCCAGTGCTGCCCAAGCCCACAAGTCCAACATTAACCCATATGTCCAACACCAATCACCAATCCACAAAGTCCTCCTCCATCTCACAAAACACACGCAATGATGTCAACTGCAGGAGGAAAGCCAAATCAGTGAACATGTAAGCATCTCAGCGCTGGCAGGGATCTCCACACAGCTGCTCCAGCACCCAGAGCTGCATTGGGGTAGGTCCATGCAACTTCTCCTCAGGGATGTCTTGCAGGAAGTGAGCCTTGCCAGCTAAAGCAGGGAATTGGCTAAGGCAGCTGCACCCTGGTCCGACCATCATAAAGCAAGAGCCCTGAGAACTTGAAAGGCGAGGCTCACCAAGCCATTTATCCCTCCACCCTTCAATTAACCCACATGTGTGTATTGGCCACATTGGCACAATAAACTAACTACCTCCGTGTTAGAGACGTTGGGTCCCCTGGCTACTTGATGGGTGAAGGGAGGTATGGTATGACTCTTGACCATGAAGGCCCTGTACTCCAATTTTCAGTAAGGGCACCCCAGGCAAGTCCCCTGAGGGTAAGACTGCCCTCCCTGGGCTGGTCAGGGGAGTTGTCATCTACTTGCAAACACACCCTGCCTGGGAGTATAGCTTTTGACATTGGTGGTTCCTGGTCAGAAAGAATTTAAATGGAGAGTGAAGTGATGCCAAGACTCAAAATGGAGTTAGGCCTCCCGCTGTAAAACATTGCCATTGCCATTGTTAGGTGCCGTCGAGTCAGCTCTAGCTCAACAGGACAGAACTGTCGCATTCCACAAGCCAAGTGCTTAGAACCAGCCATCTCGTAGCGTGCTGACCAAGCCCTAGACCCTGAAGGAAACACTGTCTCTCTGTGGTCTGGCAGATGCTGGATTCACAACCTATTCCCAGGGAGTCTTTTCTCTATGGCCAAACAGATGCCGGATGCAATAGTCGATGCCCAAAGGATCTTGATGCACAGCATAATCCATAAATCTTCTTTATAATGAACCCCTGGGAACAGACCCGCTTGAGAAGGGAATTTTAATAGCAGATGTCCAGAAAAAGCTGTCCTGCCACATCCCGTGACCATCCTCTAATTAGCAGAAGAGTGCTCGGGCTTGTTGTTGTGTACCCTTAGCTAATCATTCTGCTGGGCAAGCATTGAACTGTTAACCTCAAAGCTGGCAGTTCAAACCCCAGTCACTCCTCAGGAGAATGTTGGCGCAATCTGCTCCTGTGAAGAGTTACCGCCTCCAAAACCCTAAGAGTCAGAGGGGATTCCTGGCAGTGCGGGAGAGAGAAGTCAGGATCTCCTCAATAGCACACGAGACGTGCTAAGGTCACCTGACACCCACAGGCACTCCCACCAGAGTGATACACCATACATACTAGTGTAAAATGAAGCCAAGAGAAGACAAGTACATTTCTTTTGGTAGAAATACGGGGAGGACCAACCTCCCAGTGAGGAAAAATGATTAAAAATACAAGGGGAGAATATACTTGGTGTTATGTTCTAATAGGGCACATTGGACCGAGTGTCTGTACAGCCCCTGGGGACCCAGGCCAGGTGCCATAGAATACTAGGACATTGGGCCCTAGGTTTCCAAGGCACACAACATACTCCAAAGTCCATACCCAAGGTATGTGATGTGGGAACCCCACTAGGAGAACTTAGCTCGACCTCCAATGCACCTGTAACTCAAGGACTTACGGGGGTGACTAAACGGTGTGTGAGGAAGCAGCAGGCAGCTATACCAGGAGGACTGAACTGTCGTTAGGTGGACTACCATCTACTTACTACTTCAATGTCCTGCTTTCTTTATTAAGATACGTTTACGCTGGCAGACCTGGGTCTGGCATTGTCACTGAACATCACTGTAAATTTGCCTGACCACCAACTCCCATGGTTTGTGTAAATAGTGTCCAGTCATGTAAGGATTTAATCTGTACACATCAGTAATCTGTGTATTAGCTTTTGTAGCTAGCCTACACTTGACTTGTTGAATCTCCTTTTCTCAATTGTATTTGAACTCCATTATCATGAGCTAAATCAATGACAGCCTGAACAGACAGACTTTATGCTCCAGGGAGTTGACTGATAATGTTCTCAAAGTAAAATAACAGAGATGTCTCTAAGGTGAACCATAGGCATATATCAAACATAGATGTGGGAATAGATTTGGAGTTCACACTTAATCCTAGCTCCAACCTAAGAGCAATCAGTTCTTACAACACAGCTCTGTTCTATACTTGCACTCATGAAGGAAACATGGAAGATATGGGTGCTACAGCAAGGTGTGATGAAGAAACTAGATGGTGTCTGGCTATCAGAAAGAATAACATCTGGGGTCTTAAAGGCTGGTTTTAAAACAAGCAGTCATCTAAGTGAGCTGTCAGCTAAGCCCACATGGAAGAAGCACACCAGCCTGCATGATTCAGTGATTTCAAATAATATAATCTAAATCTGAGGGGGTGGGAATGATATCAGAGCTTAAATTGTGAAATTCTAGTTTGCAGAAGGCAATGAATAACAGTGGAAGCCCAAAATACATTTGCAGGATCTTTACTGTCTCTCGTGATTTCCCTCTGACCATCATCCAGGGATAGGAATAGCCTGGTTATCAGACAGAGTATTATAGAAACAATTATAATAGATGAAAGGAAGAGTCAGGCTTGAATGGTTAAAGCTTTGTCATTTGATCTTCCTTTTAACACATTTTCAATTTGTTCTGGTTTCTAGTCTTTTCTGTTTTCTTTCAAACTGGAGTTTATGATTTCTGCTGTATTTTGTAATTGTTGGTAGCCTGCTCCACTCTCTGCATGTTTTTTCCATGTTTTTAGGTATATTGAAACCCAGCATGGGTGAGTCTGTTGAGACAATAACTAGATTAAAGGTTCCTTCGGGGACAGGGAAGGTTGGAGAGCTAATAAGAAGGAATACAAGAAGAAAGAAAGTGTTTTAAACCTGATTATGTTAGCAGTTGTACAACACTTCTTGATATAACTGAAGTTGGAATTGTATGTGATCTGGATTATCTTCCAATAAGAAGTTTTTAAAAAAAAGAATCTATGCAACAGCAGCAGGTTTGGTTTTCAGGTTTAACCGATCATGCACATGTATGTTGCCATGCACCAACCCCCACCTTCAACTCTCCTGTCAATCATGACTTGGTATCTCTTCCTCCTTCAACTGCACCAAGAGCCGTCTTTTATATGGACCATGGGAGCAGCCATCCTCTCAGAGAATTTGCACATCTCCCTGGTCCCGACTGTCCCCAGACGTGGAATAAATCTGTCACTTGTCCTTTACCCAGGTGTGAGTCTTCCCTCTGGGACAGTAGTAGGCAGAGGACCCTGCCTTCACAGGGTTCACTTCCCTGTTCATGGAGTCGGGCAGCACATAAGCCAAGAGACAGGAACGTCCCGTTGGGCTGCTGTCAGCAGCACAAAGAAAAGGAAGCACCCGATGTCGGCAGGGCAAGGGCCTCCAGAGCCACTTCAACCACATCCTCTCCCCTATTGCCTCACTCTTGTTTTCCTGCCATCAGCCTTGGTCTCTAGCCTATTGTGCTGTCTTGGTTGTCCTTCGGGAGAAAGATGGGGCTTTCTACTCCTGTAAAGAGTTAGTGTCTCAGAGACCCCCAGGGGCAGTTCCACCCTGCCCTACGAGGTTGCCATGAGTCAGAATTGACTCAGCGGCAGTGAGTTGAGTTGAGTTAAATTGAGTTGAGTTGATGGGTCCTGTTTTCAGCTGCCCTCCTTTGCGGCTCCTCACCTCAGCCTCAGTCCACCTGTGTTTCTTCCCCCAGCCTCACCCCCTCCGGAGCTTCCGGAGCTGCGGCTCTGTATCTTCACCAGCTCTCTCGACCAGCCCTGCCTCGCTCCCTTGCAGTGGAGGAGATTGGCCAGTTAGAGGCTTTTTCTTTTCTTTTCTAAGGCAGCTATTTATTGCTGCATTTCATTCCTGAATGTGTTGCTGGAGTCCCCACCCAGAACCGTCCCTGCCAAGCCTGAAAAGAACACACACAACCCTGTTCTCCTGGCCTCCGTTCAGACGCATGTCCTCCCAAGTGAGTGTTAGATTAAACTTCCTTCTTCCTCATAAGATTGTTGAACTGGGCAGGGGAATTTTATGACAGGCATCTTTGAAAGAGGACAGAGCTGGGCAGGGCTGGGAGCCACCTACGTGTGTTCCTGCTGCTCGAGCTGTTCTTACTGGATCCAGAAGAGGGGCCTGGGTGAGGGCCCAGTCCCTGCGGAACAAGGAGGTGGGCTCTCCGCGGCTGGTTTGGGGTGGATTGGCTGCGTAGGGACCCAGGTCTCCAGCTGGGCCGCCTTGCCTTCTCTCCAGAGACAAGCCTTGGGAGCCTGGAACCCACAGGTATGTCTCCACCAGAAGGACCTGTGGCTCAGATTACTGGGAGATAGGGCAGTGGGCATGGGATGGATTGAAGATAAGGAACAAAAGATCCTGGAGAGAAGGAGAAAGGGAAGGGAAGAAGGAAACCACAGAGGTTTCTGAGACCCCAGGGCGAAGGCAAACAGATCTCCTCGGAGGGCCAGGCCCCTTGATTGACAGGGGACTGTACTGGAAAGGACTGTGAGGGTGGGTTAAGTGCCATGGTTAATGAGCAGTGCCTGCGACAGGCTCTGGTGGTGCAGGTGTTAGGCTTTGGCTGCTAATCACAAGGTCAGCAGTTTGAAACCACCAGCCCCTTCCACAGGAGAAGATAAGGCTCTTTACTCCCTCAAAGAATTATAATCTCAGAAACCCACAGGGGCAGTTCTACCCTGTCCTAAAGCCTCGCTCTGACCTGGGTGGACTCGAAGGCAGCGGGCTTTGGAGAGTTTTCTGAGCTACAGGCTCAAGGGAAAGGTGCGGGTGAAAGAGCCAGGAATTTCCCAACCCACACGTGTAGCTCTTTCCCTTCCTCGACCAAGAGACCCCTTGACATGCACTCAGCCACGCATTTATCTCTGCCCATTCCGCACGCACATGCTGAGCACCGGCTGTGGACCAGGGAGTTGAAGAATGGGTGAAAAGACACAGGTGTTGCTCTCTGGTCCTGGAGCCTCATTTTTCTCTGCCCCCCCCGCAGACCCCCCAAAATCAGTATTTGAAAAGCCTGGGTTTCCTCATCTGTAAAATCAGAGTGGTAGTCTGAGTGGTCCCTATGAGTCCCCATCATCCTCTGTCTCCCAGACGTCTATGCTAACATGGCTAAGCCCCATCAACTGGTCCCGAGAGAGAGAAGAAGGCTTCACAAAGTTCATAGAAAAATGGGATCGGGGGAACCAATCACAAGGGTCTACATATAACCCCTCCTTGTTGGACAACAGAAAAGTGGGTGAAGGGAGATGTCAGACAGTGTAAGATATGACAAAATGATAATAATTTATAAATTATCAAGGGTTCATGAGGGAGGGGTGGGCAGGGAGGGAGGGAAAAAATAAGGAGCTGATATCAATGGCTCAAGCAGAAAGCAAATGTTTTGAGAATGATGAGGGAAACAAATGTACAAATGTGCTTGACACAATGGATGGATGGATGGATTGTGATCAGGGTTGTATGAGCTCCCAATAAAATGATTTTTTTAAAAAAATAATAATGGAATTTTTCCATGAACTTTTTGAAGCTCCCTTGCATATACAAAGTGTATGTATTATCTTGAATAAGCTTTCTATAACCTCTCCAAGGAAGGTAACATTGTGAGTCCCACAATGAGATGGCGTACTGGGTTGTGTGCTGGGCGGCTAACTACAAGGCCCGCTGTCCTGAGGGACAAAGGTAGGGCTTTCTGCTTCTACAAAGAGGTGCAGCCTCAGACACACTCCCACGGGGGCAGCTCTCTTCTGTCTTGCAGGGTGGCTAGGAGCCGCCATCTACTCGATGGCGGTGCGTTTTGGGAAGAGCTGGAGGCCTGAGGCGCTGAGAGGTTAAATGACTGGCCTTGCCAGCCTGATTGCTGTTTGCCCCCGTGCCCACACTGTGCCACGTTCATGATTGAACGGAGTGGACTTTGTGCAGGACGGTCCTACATGATGGTTCCTGGACTCCGGTAAACAGTGACATGATGATTAACCAGACAGAGGGGCAGAAAGTGAGCGAAAACCTTACCCAAATCATCATCATCTTTAAAGACCACTTTCGACAGGTTCCCTGAAGAAGCTAGCCTGAGTGTCAGGGCAGGTCCTCTGAGGAGATGGTATTTGCCCAGGAATGCTGGGTGGAGGGGG